CTGCTCTGGCTCAAAGCCTTCTCTAACCTCCCCTCTTGCTCGGTGAAAGCCTGTCTTCCTCTTGACTCCACCTAATCCTCGCCCTCCCTCACTGCACTGTGTCTACAGTGGCATCTTTGCTGCCCCTCATGTGAGCCGGCCCCATTGCCCTTGCTGGCTTCTCTGCAGGCCACACCTTTCAGACACCACTTCCGACAGCTGCCGAGCTTCCTCCCTTCCCTCCTGCAGGTCTTAGAGAAAGATCACCTGCTCAGCCAGGTTGTCTCTGACCTTCTTTAACTCTGCCCCTGCTCGCCCCCACACCCTCCATCTCCTTCCTGATCTGATTTTCCCCTGGAATTTTATTTTACTCATTTCCTTTCTTCCCCTCACGGGAACGGAAGCAGCGTGAGGACAGGGGTCTTGGGGTTTCACTCTCTGCTGTGTGCACGGTGCCTAGATGGAGACCTGTCACTCAGTCCAAGCTTGCTGGGTGGATGACAAGGCCTGGGGGAATCATTTCAGACTGCACGTGGGCAGCTGGCACCCCAGGCCCCTCCTGGCAGCTGCGTGTGCCTGCTGGCCCCAGCCAGCGCCGCGGCCGTGTTCTGACTTGGCGGGTGGAACAACAGTGCTCTGCGACCAGAGATCACGCTCCCCTGCGCCTTTGTCTTTTTTGGCCTCAGCTCATCAGAAGCTTTGTCTCTGGAAAACCGACAGAGCCCTCTGCCAGAAAGGTCTGCCGACCTTCTTGTTATTTCAGCTGTTTTCAAGGCTCTCTGAGGCTGCTTGGCCACAGGGAGGCCCACGGGGAGCCAGAGTCAGGTGATGGACTCCAGACACCACAAAGAGCATCTTCAGGTTGCCTCGTCCCATCCGCTTCTCAGCCCTTCTGGCCGGCAACCTCTCTCTTGGTCACTTCGCTGCTTAGGAGGGCCTTGACCTAGCAGCAAGCCCGGAACCTGAAGGGAACTCACACTTTGATAGACCCAGCAGGCCTGCTTTGAAACAGGGGTCGTAGAAATGGACATGAATCAGTGCTAAATCTGATATGCAACGAAACCTTCTCGCTCCTGCAGCCCGAGGAGCCCTGAGACATGGGCGCTGGTTCACGCTTGTGGTCAGCAAGGGTCTATCCCAGTGGGTTATGCTCGGATGGGACAGACGAGCCTTCCTCGTGGGGTTTATTGAATAGGGTGGTCAGGTACCTTCCACCCCAGTGGAAGGATGGGTGAATGCTGTATTTGCCAAAGGTTCCGCCTTTCTTCCTCAGCCCAGAGGAGTGCTCCTTCCTGTGTCTACTCTCCCTTCTGAGACGGGGATGGAGGTGTGCACTGAAAAAGTTGGAAGGCAACCTCAGATAAGGGACTGAACTCTGAGTCTCAGCTTGGATCTTTTAAAAAATCCCCCCCCCCCAGCTTTATTGACGTATAATCAACGATTAAAAATTGTATATATGTACTGTGTACAGTGTGATGTTTTGACATACATATACATTGTAAAGCGATTGCCCCAGTGGGAACACATCCATTATTTCACGTAGTTACCTTTTTAATTTTTTTGTGGTGAGGACATTTAAGATCTACTCTCTTAGCAAATTGCAAGGATGTGATACAGTATTACTAACTATAGTCGCCATGCTGGACATTTGATCTCCAGAAGTTATTCATACTGCAGAACCGAAAGTTTCTATCCTTTGACAAACATCTCCCCATTTCCTTTACCCCTCAGCCCCTGGCAAAGGCCGTTCTACTTTCTGCTTCTATACATTCAACTTTTTAAGATTCCACATATAAGTGAGATCATGCAGTATTTGTATTTCTGTGCCTGGCTTATTTCACTTAGCATCATGTCCTCCAGTTTCATCCATGTTGTTGGAAATGACAGGATTTCCTTTTTTTTCTTTTGCTTTTTTGATGAGGAAGATTGACCCTGAGCTAACATCTGTTGCCAATCTTCCTAGTTTTTTGTTTTCCTCCTCGAAGCTCCAGTACATAGTTGTATATCCTAGTTGTAGGTCATTCTAGTTCTTCTATGTGGGATGTCGCCACAGCATGGCTTGATGAGCAGTGTGTAGGGCCTTGCCCAGGATCCGAACCAGTGAACCCCAGGCTGCCAAAGTGGAGTGCACGAACTTAACCACTCAGCCACAGGGCCAGCCCTGATTCCCTTCTTTTATTTTATTTTTTTTAAGATTTTTTTTCCTTTTTCTCCCCAAAGCCCCCAGTGCATAGTTGTATATTTTTTTTCAGTTGTGCATCCTTCTAGTTGTGGCATATGGGATGCCGCCTCAGTGTGGCTTGATGAGTGGTGCCATGTCCACACCCAAGATCTGAACCAGTGAAACCCTGGGCCCCTGAAGTGGAGCGCGCGAACCCAACCACTCGGCCATGGGGCCAGCCCTAATTTCCTTCTTTTTAAAGGCTGAATAATATGGCATTGCTTATATATATTATATAACAGCACATTTTCTTTATCTGTTCATCCATTGATGGACATTTAGTTTAATTCCATATCTTGGCTGTTGTGAATAATGCTGCAATAAACACAGCAGCGCAGATATCTCTTCAAGATACTGATTTCATTTCCTTTCGATAAACACGTAGAAGTGGAATTGCTGAATCATATGATCGTTCTATTTTTAATTTTTTGAGGAACCTCCATACTGTTTTCCATGTCAGCCTTGATCTTAATCAAAGTCCATGGCTTGGAGTCCCTTCTCTGAATGTCTGGCTTGCCTTTTCCTTTTAGTTAAAAAAACTAAACGGGGCAAGGATTAAACGTCTCCCTGGCGGTGTGGGCGTGAAGGATAATGCGATGGTGTACTAGCTAAAATTAGCTTATTTCCAGTCTATGAATCATTTAAGTATTAATGATTCTCTTTGCAAATCCTCAAAGAAATGTTTTATCATGGAACTCTTAAGAAAAACAATCTGTTTATTTATGTTCCCACCTTAATTTTAGCTTCTTTCTTAAGTGAATTTTTTTCCCTGAAATCTTTTGTGTTGGGTCTTTCCAAAATAGGTTATGGATGAAGAATGGGGCTACTCTAGTGTTCCAAACTAAGTAGCTTTAAGAAGAAAAGCCTCCTGTGGTTGTTGCTCATGGTCAGAAGCCAGTAGAATGAGGCTTGGAATCAAACAGCAGGTCAACAAGTGTTTGTTAGGGACCCTCCTAGTGCAAGGGTTCTTTCTTCTAGAAAAAGAGAAGTCTTTTGGGCCTCAAGATCAACAAATAGCAGTTGAATCTAATTGAGTTTGAAATAATAACTCCTTTTGGAAAACGGAAGAATTTGCATTTCTGAACAATTGATTCATTGGCCTCCAGAGGACCATGACTGTTTACTTGGACTTCCTTTTATTTTGATTAAGTACGTATCTGCCCATCCTTTTGAGTTTATCTAGGTCTTCCAGAATTTACATACCTCCAACCACCCCCATCCACTGGGGTTGGCCTTTAGGTTGCCTGGCTGACTTTGTCAGCTGTGCATTCCTTCTTTAAGGGCAGGAATACACAACTGGAAATAGCATCTGTCATACCCCCAACCCTGGTAGCATCTTCATAAATTGCAAATTGGTTCTCCTTTAATCCTCTCCATGGGTTGGGTGTTCACCTGAAGTTTTTATTTGGTCCAGAATTTCAAATCTGTGTCTCCTTACTAACTTTGTAAATTTAGGGCTGTTAAGTGAACTCAGGGTAATATGGTTCTATTCTATGGTTTCCATTTGCAGCTTGCAGTTGAAAGCATAACCTTTAATTCCTGTCTTTCAAAACTCAACCAGATTTATTGCTTTCTTGTTTATCCACTGAAGCTGAATCATCTCCATTTGGGTTAAGCATCAGTTAGGTTAATCATCTCCAGTTAGGTTAGTTTTCCTCTAGGTCCAGAATCATGATGTTTTGTTTTCTAAGCATCTTACTACTCAAAGTGTGGTCCAAGAACTAGCAGTCTAGGCCTCACCAAGGAGCTTGTTAGAAATACAGGTCCCGGGGCTGGCCCCATGGCAGAGTGGTTAAGTTCATGCACTGGTTCGGATCCTGGGGGCAGACATGGCACTGCTCATTAGGCCATGTTGAGGCGGCATCCCACATGGCACAACTAGAAGGACCCACAACTAAAAATACACAACTATTAACCGGGAGGCTTTGGGGAGAAAAAAGAACAATAAATTCTAAAAAAATTTTTAAAAAAAACAAAGAAAGACATACAGGTTCCAGGCCCCAGCCTTACCTACTGAATCTGCATCTTAATAAAACCTCCGGCTGATTCATATGTACATCAAGTGTGAGAAGCCCTGATTGAGAGTGTCGTCAGATTTTTGTATTAAAAATTACATCGTCAAGATGTAAAGGGACATATTTCCATTAAAAATTTTTTCTAACATTTTATTTGGAAACATTTCAATCATATAGCAAAATTGCAAGGGTTCTACAGTGAACTCCCATAGAATCTTCACCTAGATTCTACCATTAGCTTTTTTTTCTTGCATTTCCTTTTTTCCCCAAATTAATTTCTGTTGCGGATTTTATATAGAAATGTGAGTTTACAGCATGACTGTTAGAAAGGAAGCATGGGTCTCACTGATGTCTTAGCAGCAAGGGTCTCACCCTTTCTTCTAGAATCCTCATTGGATTTGATAAGGTCACAGTTAATTTAGGAATTTCTTGTGAGTCAGAGAAGCATGGTGCGGTGGGAGTGGGGAGTGCTGGGATTTCACAGAGTTGGGTGCTGGCCCTTACTCCCTCCAGAACACTTGACCTCCGTATCCTCATCTATATTGTGAGTGGGTTGAGCATCATCGTCTCCAATGTCACTTCCAACCCTGTGATTATAGGTCCACTGCAAATATTATTGGCATCACTATTTCTCAGGTGGAGAAACTGATGAGCCAGTTAAATATTCGAATAAGAAGGAAAATATGCGTTGGCATGGAAAAGTGATTATTTCCTAAGCTACTGAGTAAAACACAGCTGCACTGGCAGTTTTAACTCTGTTTTCTTGTCAATTTTTGTTCTTTTAGGAAATCTTAGAGAAACGTGAAGCCCTTAACCATCTGGAACTCAGAAACTCATTCGGGGCTGACTGCGGCTTCGAGAACATCCAGGTGCTCTGCACATGTGAGGATTTGTCCTGCACTCGCCAGCTGGAGTCCTGAACAGATGCAAGGCTGGTGCTCTGGCTTTAACATCCCTGAGCACAGAGGGGTCAATTTCTAAGTGGCCAAGGAGCAGTTGTTGACACCGATGTCTCCTTGCTGTGCACAGCCAGTCTTCTTACGGAGCTGCAGTGAGGAAAGCCAAATTCGGGGCTGCAAGTTTCCTGACTCTTTTGAATTAGGATTCCAGATGGGGGCCCTATTTCTGTAGCCCTCACCAACCCTATAGGCATCACCACCACCACCCCTGCCACCACCACCAGTATCTTCTTGCAAACTCTACTACTGCTCTCAAGAGACTCCCGGCATTGAAAGTGAGCAGAAGAGAGCTGTCCGAGAAGTCTCTAGCTGTGGCCTGCCATCACTCCACACAGTACGAATCCTCCCCTTACCACCATGGGCTGGCTTTTTCTAAAGGTTTTGTTGGCGGGGGTGAGTTTCTTGGGATGTCTTTATCCTCTTGTGGATTTTTGCTTCAGTGGAGAAACAAGAGGCCAGAAGCCAAATTTCGTCATCATTTTGGCAGATGACATGGGGTGGGGTGACCTGGGAGCAAACTGGGCAGAAACGAAGGACACTGTCAACCTTGATAAGATGGCTGCAGAAGGAATGAGGTGAGTCTTGAGGATACCAAGCCAGCACCTCTTTGCATGGCTTACCCTGCCTCGTCTGGGGGGATGGAGAGTGTAAGGCACTGAAAGAGCAATTGATGGGTCCATGTTGATTTAATTAATCGATTACTCAGTTTGAAGCCAGTACAGCATCATGAAGAAATTCATCTACCCATCCAACCATCCATACCTTTGGTAAGACTTATTGTGTGTGTGTGTTAGGAGCTGAGAATACAGAGGCAAACAAGATAAAAATCCTTGCCCTTAAGGTACTTATTGTCTGGTAGAGGAGACAGGTTAAAAGGCAAATAAAAATTCCAATCTAGTACCTGAGCCTGCGGCAGGAATTTTTGGAGTGGGGAACCCAGCCTGGGTGTTCAAGGCAGAAGGTGACCTTTGAAGAACAACTGCGAGTCAGGGAAGCACACGAAAGCAAGAGCACTTATGTGTGAGCAGACGAGACTTATTGATCCATTTAGGCACATTTACCTTGAAGGCACAGCAAAGGGTGAGAAGTGTGCATCTGAACGGGTCAAAGTGTTGATAAATCGGGTTTTCTTGGTTGTTTTTTTTTTTTTTTGAGGAAGATTAGCCCTGAGCTAACATCCACTGCCAATCCTCCTCTTTTTGCTGAGGAAGACTGGCCCTGAGCTAACATCCGTGCCCATCTTCCTCTATTTTGTATGTGGGACGCCTACCATAGCATAGCTGGACAAGCGGTGCCATGTCCGCACCTGGGATCCGAACCGGTGAACCCCGGGCTGCTGAAGTGGAACGTGTGAACTTAACCACTGCGCCACCGGCCAGCCCCCAATAAATTGTTTTTGTTTAAATGCTGAGCCCCTTTCCCCCTTGGACAGAGAACAGGTAGAGCTTTCAGACTTCTGGGCTAACGTTCATTGGACCAGCCTGCTCTGATCCCACCTGCACTGGGCTAAACTCCTCCCTTAGGCTCATGGGAGTCATTCGCCTAGCTGGTTAGGACAGCGCATGGGGCATCTCCACAGAGTTTCAGCCACTTGTCTCCTCAAGCTGGGAGCTTTCTCCTGAGATAGGGGCCCTTGGGTTCCCTACATCTGGTCTAACCCACTCCAGTCCATCCTCCTCACCTCAGCCAGGGGGAACTTTCTAGAAACACTCCTCTGCTTCCAGTCCTTCAAAGGTAGGTTGTGGGCCTAAGGATAAAATCCAAACTCTGGGTAGCAGCTTACAAGACCAGCCCGTTCTCCTCACTGGCTCCTTGCACCGCCCCTTCCGTCTTGCAGCCCTCTGCACTGGTTGCCTCCCTGAGCCTGGGCCTCACCTGCGGACCTACTTCTTCCAGGTGCACTTTCCACTTCCTCTGTTTGGTTAGTTTCTACTCATCTTTTGGGTCCCAATTCCACATGAAGTCCTCAGGAAAGCTGTCTCAGACGCGTCAGGTGTCCTCTGCTCTTGCCCTTGCTGCTCTGCCTGGTGATTGTTGAACCATCTGACCACCTGTGTTGAGTTGACTAGCGTCCCCACCAAATTCACGTCCACTTGGAACCTCAGAACGTGACCTTATTTGGAAACAGGGTCTTTGCCAATGTGATTGGTTCCGGATCTCGATATCATAATCTATTGAGGGCAGGTCCTAAATCCAATGACTAGTGTCCTCATAAGAAGAGGAGAGGACACAGAAACGCACAAGGGAGCAGGTGATGTGAAGATGGATGCAGAGAGTGGAGTGAAGCGTCTGTAGGCCAAGACCACCAAGGATTGCCAGCAACCACAAGAAGCTGGGAGAGAGGCCTGGACCGGATTCTCCTTTGAGCCTCCAGGAACCAGCCCTGCCGATATCTCGATTTCAGACTTCTCGCCTCTGAAACTGTGAGAAAATCAATTTCTGTCGTTTTAAGTCACCCTGTTTGTGGTAACTGGTTGTGGCAGCCACAGAAAATTCATATACCTCACTTTTAGCTCTGGGCTTCAGGAAGGAAAATGCCTTGTCTATTACTCCTCCTTTATGTTCCTAGCATGCAGCACGGTGCCTGGCGCATAGTAGGCATTTGGTAAATATTTGTTCATCAATAAGTGGGCTGTAGGAGTTCAGGATGCCCTGAAATGTCACTCCGACGTTTGCACGGAGGCATTTTCTCTGGGTAGAGAGTTCATCCACGGCATTTATCAGATCCTCAAAGGGAACTGGATTGCCAAATGCTTAAGATCTTCTGCTTTTAGCGTCGAGTGGCTTTGTGGGAAAATATCTGGCCCATTATTTAAACCGAGATTTTGCGAGGCCTGGACATTCCTCTTTGGGCTGCCCCCACCAGCGCGCTCTCAACCTGAGCAGAAAGGGCATCTCGGGGACCAGATGCCAACACAGTTTGGTGGCCTCTCCTGCTTTTTTCTCCTCTTTATGAAAATATTCTTTCCATCTGAGCCTTGTGACAGGGGCCAGGTGGACGGCCCTCTGGCCCGAGGTCGACAGCTTTTCACTTTGTGCTTTGTTGACAGGAAAGCCAGCTTCCTGTGAGGCCACGGATTGATTCATCGCTGGCTTCTCCCACTGCCTACTCATGGCCAGTGGGGAACTGCGACTTTCAGATGAGAACTCATTGCCAAACAGGGTCTCAGGGTGACTTGAGAAAGTGTCTTTTCTATCGTCTTCTTTTTATTGGCTTGTTAGTTTCCTAGGTCTGCTGCAACCAGCTACTACAAACTGAGGGGCCTAACACGACACAGATTTATCCTCTCACATCATAGGATGTTGTGAGGGTTGAGTTAAGCAATCCTTGTAAGCTGTTAGCACAGAGCCTGGCACACAGTAGAGACAGACATATGTTAGCTATGGCTATTTCTGTTATTGTTATTAGAAATGATATCCCTTTGAATTGTCAATGAGAATTGGCTACTCTGCATTATGAAAGGTCTAAATGATCAATCGTGGAAGGAGGAGTGGGTTTCCAGGGACAAATCCCTGTTAATCTCTACGTGGACCGTGCGCCCTGGGCCGACACCTGTATTTGAATCAAACACAACAGCTGCCGCCACAGCTAACCTGTGCTGAGTGCTTGCACGGGGCTGGCTCTGGCATTGCCCCATTTGGCTCGGGTTACCACCCGACGTTTCTCTTCTTTCACAGATGAGGAAATCAAGGTGAAGTAACTCACCCAGAGTTAGTGAGTGGCCGCGTCCGCAGTCCCTCCTTCTAGAGCCTTATCATTAAGGGCTGGGAGGAAGAGAGGAATTAGCAAAGAGTTTCCTCTAAGGCCGGGCCCGCTTTGCCGTGGGGACTGTTGAAGAGGAGATTGGAGTCGCAACATTTTTCCTCCCTTTGGGGCTGACAAAGGATTTCTGTGCTGTCCAGGGACGAGAGGCACTTTGAGAAATGTGGTGCTGATCATGGAAAAGATGTAGCCACTGGGCAGCAGGCTCGAGCAGCCGGGGGTGTGCGGTTGCTGAGGTTGCAGGTGCCCACGATCTCACCCTGCCCGCTCCAGCCCCATCTCCAAGCCCCTCCCCAGGCTCCCAACATTGCGCTTATTTCTGTTCCTCGAGCACTTTTGCCTGTCTCGGGGCCTTTGCACTGACTGTTCCCTCTTACGGGCAAGCTCTCCCCTCAGGATTCGAGCGGCTGGTCCCTTCCCATCCTCCTGGTCTCCACTCAGATTCACATCCTTCAGGAGGCCTTTCCTGACCATTCTCTCCAGCACTGCCTCCCTTCACCATGCGTGTCTCTTACCCTTTCTCCTGCTTTTTTTCCATGACCTCTATCACTGTTGAAGTGATCTTTGTTTCCTTCTTTGTTGCATGTCACACTGGAACGTCGGCTCCTTCAAGGAGCAGCCTTATCTATCTTGTTCATGCTCCAGCCTGGTACATGGCAGGGGCTCAAAAAATGTTTGCTCACATATTTAGACTCCTGGATCTAACCTTTTGGACATGCACAGACGCGTTAACCACAGTGTGGGATCTGAAACCAGGCTGCCCCGGTCTGTCACTTGCTAGCTCTAGGACACTGGGCTCATCGCTAAACTTCACCGGGCCTCAGTTTGTTCATCTCTAAAATGGGACAATAATGGCGCCTACATCACAGTGTCATTTTGAGGAGGAAATAAGTTAAGTCATGCCGGGCTGTAGGAGAGTCCCTGGCACATTTTGGAGCTTGGTAGGTGTAGCTCGTATTCTCTGCTGTAAGTTGGCTCCACTGCCCTGCTCCCCACCGTGTCCCCCTGCCCTGGCTGGAGGGCCATGCTGATTCATTCAGCTTATGTTCCAACAGTCTGTGCCCTGACCCCCATCCTTCCCCAAGCTGGGCTGTAGAACTCAGCTTGATTCTGCTCATTCCTAGACCAAGTCCCCAAGGCCACATTTAAATGTTTGTATAACGTTTCCCTCTTACTTCCCTGCCGGCATACTCCATTTTCTTAATTTCTTCTTCTTCTTTTTTTTGGTGAGGAAGATTGGCCCTGAGCTAACATCTGTTGCCAATCTTCCCTTTTTTTTTTTCTTCTCAAAACCCCAGCACATACTTGTATATTCCAAGTTGTAAGTACTTCTAGTTCTTCTTTGTGGGATGCTGCCACAGCATGGCTTGAGGAGTGGTGTGTAGGTCCATGCCCAGGATCTGAACCTGTGAACCCTGGGCCACCAAAGTGGAGCACGTGAACTTAACCACCATGCCACGGGGCCAGCCCCTCTGTTTTCACTTTAACCTGCCTATGGTAGATGCAATTTGCCACTTCTGTGGACGAAAAGGGCACCATTTACAACATAATTGTGATGTTATCATTGTTTCAGGAAAAAAAGGAGGAAGAAAAGCAGAATTTTCAGTGCCTCGATTTTGGTGTGCCTTTTTAGGCTTCTTAAACTCCATTTCCATGGAGATAAAATAGGGATTGTGGCCTGAACCCCCACAGCCTTGAGTTCATTTACAGTAGCTCAGGTCAAAGAGCATCCACACCACATACTGCTTGGGGGAAACTGAGGTGCAGAGAGAATTGAAATGTTTTTACTGTTATAGTCAGCTCGCTAACAGG